TTTATAAGCTGTCAACAAAGAGTTAATAGGTGTTGCATGGTCAAATAGGAAATGTTGGAGTCAATCATATAAAAATCATTTTTCCTCTGTAGAACCTCTTAGATCCTTTAATTTGCTAATATGTATTGAGAATTTTCAAGAAAGGAAATAAATGTACATTTCCTCGAACAGTTTTACCAGAGAACCTACTTTTCACAGAATACATTTTACGAAGCACTGCCTTAACATATGTACTAAGATCCATATCCATCTTTGTCTGTCCAGAATTATACCTATTTTGAGAAACATGAAGCGATGCATATTGCAATGTAATGGTATTTACAATGTAGGTGTGTGGTTAACTTATAATATTGAATGTAAGCACTGTGCTAAAGTATGCTGAAAAGAGTTAATATAGTAGGTAGAAGACTGCTGTTTTTAGGAATGTCTGTTTCCAAGGTTGGACTTTGGCTGTTGTGTAGGAATTTGGTTTCCCTTTCTTCCCTGATAAGTATAGTTAACTTTACCTAGGTTGTTGGTACAAATTATGTGATTTATGCTGAATAAAGACTCTTTTTAGAGTCTGGTATTCTGGTTCATGCTAGGCAAAAGGTGCTTATTTGACCTGAGTCTCAACAAAAACCTGAGTCTCTGTTGGTCTTCCCTGGCCAGATACTTACCCATATGTTGCTGTATTTTTTGTTGCTTAGAGAAAGAAGCATACTCAAGAATGCTCCCTCACCTGAGGAAGAGAGCATAAGGAAGTCTGTGCATGAATTTCTCTAGATTCCTGTGCGTTTTTCCCTTGCTGATCTTATTGTGCATCCTTTTGCTCTAGTAAACTCATCTGTGAATACAACTATATGCTGAGTCCTGTAAGACCTTCTGTTGAATCACTGAATCTGTGAGTGGTCTTGGGAGCCCTGAAACATAATCACATTACCTAATCTCAATCCTCAAAACATCTCTCAACTAGTTAGAAGTAAAGCTGTCCTTACAGAGGAGACTAAAGTTAATGGGGTTAAGCAGATCTGACTCCGAAGCTTTGGTTCTTCACTGTTATATTGCATTGCCTCTCAATACCAGAAATTGTGTCTGCATTGGATTGAAAGGAAGAAACAGGAGATCATCTAAAGGCAATAGTGGTCTGAGACTGCTTCATTCAGGAAATAGGATTTGAGTTGGTGTTGAAAGGTAAATGGACTGGATTAAAATTGATGAAGTGGAGTGTGAAGAGTATTGTCCATAGGTAGAACTGCATGATATAAAGAAATGCAAATCATAAACTCTTAAAGATTTATTTGGGAGAAAGAGAATATAACAGTTGAGTTAAATGGAGGGCTTTACATTAGAAGATTTTTTCCCCACACTTTAAAAAAATTGCTGTAGTTTGATGTAAGATAATCTATCTAATCTAGCACTTTATTTTGTATTTAAGCTTAATGATATAATGTTTAAGGATAATAAATAAAATAATGTATGTTTGCATGGTCTGCAAAGATAATCATGACTACCAAGGACTTTGCCACCAAAACAAGTTGAAAACCCACTATTGTTGGTTCTAAGAAACTATTAAAGTTTGGGTTTGAGGGCTTTTCTTTGAGCAGAGGAATGAAATGCTGAAAACAGCATTTAACTGGTACTAATCTGATGGCATTGTGAAGAGTGTGTTAGCTTGACCCAGGGAGTCAATCTATTTAAGATCACTGCCATCATAGCAGTTCATGTATGAGATAATTAAGAGTTTAGAGAATTACGGGAGTGAAAATAGATAAGAGATGTCGTATAAGATGAATTGCTATGATGTGGCAATAAACTGGATATGTGTGTGTTTGTGGGGAGATTCAAAGGGTCTTAGTCTGAGTGGAGAAAATGTGGTATCTTTAACAGAAGTATACCATTTAGGCAAACTGTCACTAACACAATGATAGGTGTATTTACTTGAACAATTTATTGAAATTGAATTGGAGAAATACATTTGGGAGTTGGGTGTGAGGTTGGATTGAAGAAAGATCAAGATTTGAGGTAAAGAGATGGAAACATTTGCAGTTGGGTGATTACTGGAACTACCTGAATGTAGGAATTAACGGGGAAAAAACAAAAAAGAACACTAAGGACTAAACTCTGACTTTACTCATTTCATCAATAAGAAATCAATATTAAAAGAGCACTTTTGAAGTTAACAAGTTATGTTACTATCATAAAACACATTTGAAGTGTATTTCTTTTAATGTGCATTGGTTGGGTAATTTCTGGTTTGTGAACTTTAATATGATATGAATAACTTTTAAATGAAATCAATCAATAAATGTTCCTTCCATGTGTAAAACATAGTTAGGCACTGAACAACATTCAGTAAGGTATATAGAAGTAGAAATACAGTGTTGTATATATGAAACATATAATGTTGTAGATCAATGTTTCCTCAATAAAAATAAATAAATAAATATGTCCTCCACTTGTTGGCAATTGTACCATTAGTGTAGCAGTCATCACTGGCCACCAGTTGAGTGCTCAAGATCACTCGTTCCACCAGATTTGTACACAAGAAAAATCCTGACACTGGGTTTTCCATTAGTACAGAAATGTTCGTAAATGAATGACATTCAAACTTAGCTCTCTGTAACATGTTTTTTTTAATAGAAACTAAAGGGGAATGAGCACAGAAATAATACTTCAGATTAGCTGTGTGGGCAGAAATGCTGGCACTTGATAACATGTGTAGAAGATTATGGTATATGTATAGAATATATATATGTATAGACTATTATGATATGAATAGAATGATAATATGTATATGTTTCTGGCTGTTGTCTCCTTTTTATTCCTACCTGCTGACATTTTTCCAGGATAAGAATACAATCTATAAAAGGCTTCAGCTCCAAAGTCTTCCCCAATATTGTTGTGCTATTTGTTTGCTCACTGGAGTTGGCAGAGAATCAGATGAATGTGCAGAGGGAAAACAGGAAAAAATGATACTTTTATTATAGGCTGACTTGTATGTTCTTGGGTTTTAAAACTTAGAAAAGTAGGAATTCCAACAAGATTGGTACATCGTTTTAGTACACCATGGTTGCCCAACATTAGTAAAAATTAATTTTGTGAAACTGTTTTGAATATGAGAATATGTTCGTTCCACTTATTTCATTAAGCTCTTTTTAAGCAATTTTCACTAATATGTTTGCATTTAGTTTTTTATTAACAAAAGTCCATACTTTATTTTTATTTCCTTAGTTTTTACATAAATTATTTTTCTGTTCTAGGATCCCATCCAGGATACCACCTGATATTTACTTATGTCTCTAAGCTCCTCTTGGTCTGTCCTCAGACTCCACTGCTTTTTTGTTTGTTTGCTTTTAAATTTTACTGAAGTGTAGTTGATTTGATTTACAATGCTGTGTTAATTGGAGAAGGAAATGGCAACCCACTCCAGTGTTCTTGCCTGGAGAATCCCAGGGACAGCGGAGCCTGGTAGGCTGCCGTCTATGGGGTCGCACGGAGTCAGACACAACTGAAGCGACTTAGCAGCAGCAGCAGCAGCTGTGTTAATTTCTTCTCTACAGCAAAGTGACTCAGCTATACATACATAAATACATATATATATAGAGAGTTTTTCATATTCTTTTCCATTAAGGTTTGTCACAGGATATTGAATATAGTTCCCTGTGTCCATTTAGTTTTTAATATCCTTGAATCTAAGCCTTCAGTAGCTCAGCAGTCATAGAGAATGATAGACTATGTATAAACAATCATTTAGATTATTATGTTCCTCCTTATTAAAGAATTTTCTTATCCTTTTCCCATGGGAAAAGGCATGGGGTTGGCATGGTATAATGGAAAGCACATTGACAAAACAATCAGGATACTTGGTTCTAACCCCAGCATATAACCTCAGCTGTTTACCCTCTGGATTCTAGTCTTCCCATCCCCAAAATAGAATGATAACCTGCTGAACCTATATCATGGCCCTGGCCCTGTTATGAGTTTCAAAGAATATAAAAGTACTTTGAAAGTGTTAATATGGAGGTTCTTGCCTTATCTTTTACATTTTAAATAGTTTTTCACAATTAAAAAAAGTAACATAACAATTGTACAAGATTTTGTCACTTATGTATTTAATTAAATCCCTGGAAGTGTTATTGTGCTTAAATTTCACTACTGCATTTCCTAAAATTCATTTTAGACCCACTCTGTAAGTTTTGACTCGTAAATCAGTCAGAGGAATTTTATGAATCTTTTCTATGAGAATGATTTAGTTAGCTTGTGTTAGAGTACTAAATTAAAGACTTACTATGATGTTCAGATTAGGAGACTTCTTCATTGATGGAGACATCTATATTTGATTTCTTTCATCTATTTGTACATCTTGCGCTCTAGAACTCATGAGACTAACAAACCATCTGCCTCCTTGTTTCTGCTATTCTAGATATAAACAAAAATATTGTTTTAAAAAAACAGATGAGATTTTAGTTTTCTGAAAAATTTGAAAGTCAGTATGGTATATTGAAAAAAGAGAGAGTTCTCATTTAGACTTTAGAGTTCCAGGCCTGGCTCTGCTGGTAACTAATTGCAAGCTCTCAGGCATGTCAATTTATTTTTTCTAGGCCACATTTACCCATTATAAAACAAATGGTGGTTTGGATTAGAATTCTAAGATTCTTTCTACTTTTTAACATTCTGATTCTTTTTTAACTCTTCTAAGTATCTATTTGAGGAAACTGATGAAAAGATTATAGAGTTGATACTGATGTTTTTGAGATACTGTTTATTATAGTTGACTTATACCTAAGGTGACCATATAATTTGCCACCCAAACAAGAGAAAACTTTTGAGAGTGAAGGGCATACTGTTAGTAATAACACCAGGACAACAGCTTTAAACCAGAACTGTCCCAGATAAACTAGAATACCTGGTTACCCTATCTATACCCAATAGGTAGTTCTGCATTATCAGCCACAAAAGAGTATTTGTTTATGTTTTAATTCCTTTTCATGGTTTCTCTGTTTATTTTCTTCTTATAGATCCACTGTGTGTGGAAAGTAGTGCAGCATCATTCCAGCGATCTTCAGTTAGTAAAAAAGGAATGTTCACAGATGATTTACACAAATTGGTGGATGACTGGACAAAGGAAACAGTAGGAAATTCGCTTATTAAGCCAAGTTTAAACCAACTTAAACAGAGTCAACAGAAACTAGAAACAGACAACTGGAACAAAGCATATGAAGTAAGTAGTTTATACCTGACTCTATTTATGAGAACTAAAACCATTAAAAATTGATTCACATAGGTCTATGGTTATAATTACCATGAGAGAGTGGTGTGACTTGACAGTATAGAGACTTTTATCCTTGTCTAGATTCATTATGTATTCAAGCAAATTATCTTTTAGGGCAGAGGCCCACAAACTTTTTCTGGGAAGGAGCCAGTTAGTAAATATTTTCAAGCCATAGGGTTGTAGCTACTCAATGCTGCAAAAACAGCCATAGACAGTATATAAACAAGTAGGGATGACTTTGTTCCATTAAAACTTGATTTGCAAAAAGAGTTGGCAGGCTGTAGATTGCTGACCCTTGTTTTAGGCTATTATACCTGGAAGAAAAAACATCAAGGATCAAAAAAGAAAGCATCTGGTGTAAGGGTTAATTCAGTTTTTGTGGTATAAGAAGTTTGGATTTCGAGGAAAAGCTATCTTATGTTAGTGGTAGATCAATATTCTCAGAGCCAATAAATTATTTTATGTATTCAATATGAAAAAGAATTTTAAAGATCTTTAATTATTATAATAAATGTCTTAAGTTTATGGATGAGATGTCTGGTTAATTGCATCTGGTCTTAGGTGTACATGGCAATTGAAGTGTAAAAAGATGTCCAAAATGCATTCTGGAGTGGAAAGAAGATAGGATCACAGAATAGTATATATAGTATTTAGGTAAAATTATATATATTAGATACATGTATATATGCACATGGGCTTCCCAGGTGGCACTAGTGGTAAAGAACCCACCTGCCAATGCAGGAGACGTAAGAGATGTGGGTTTGATCCCTGGCTTGGGAAGATCCCCTGGAGGAGGGCATAACAACCCACTCCAGTGTTCTTGCCTGGAGAACCCCATGGACAGGCACACCTGGTGGGCTATGGTCCACAGTGTCACAAAGAGTCAGACACGACTGAAGCGACTTAGCCTAGCCTAGCCTATAGATGCATATAAATAGGAAAAGCCCTTAAAATATCCTGGATGGTGGAATTTGGATCTTATTTTACTTTGTTGTTTTCTGTGTGTGAATTTTTAAAATATCATTTTTTTTCAAAATGAGTAAATCTATTAAAATGTGAATCAGGGCTTTGAATCTGAACCCATATAATTGAAAGAGATATATCTGAGTCTGTGTGTGTCTGTGTCTGTTATGTTTGTGTTCACATATGTGTGTGTATATATAGTCATTGCATTTAGTTTGGTAAAGAGTCTGAAAATACATTTAGAGTTAATATTGAATAAAACTTTTCAAAAGCCTAGATTTTCCAAACTAGTAAACAGTATATCTGCTTGAGGGCTCTCTGTATTTATATTATTCCTGGCATGGATTTATACACAGATAGTATCACCGTTGTAAAAATTGGAAGCCATTAGAGGCAGATTTCAAGGCATAAATGTGTTTGTGCTGCCAGTGGAAGTTGCTCTGAGCATTATGTGAATGGAAGTCTTTGTTGCTGAGTTGAAGAGTGGTTTGTTGCAGTTATAATGAGGGATGCTTGGAGGAAGAGTGCATAGGAAATGGAGTATGAATAAAAGTGGTAAATGTTCTTAATACAGACTTGGTTCCAGGTCAGCTCAGTCATTTACTAGTTGTATGACTTTGGACAAGTCATTTGTGCCTCAGTTTCCATGCCTTTAAAACAGGGATACTACTTTCTGCTCTGCAGGATTGTTGTGAGGATTAACATCTATAAAGTGCCTAGCACATACTAGTATCCTGTATGTGGTAACTATTTTTGTATTTTTAAGTTCAGTTGATCTTTATGTGGAGAGCCTGTCTCACTATCTAATGATCTTGCATGTTACTGTTGTGTAGCCTTAGAAAACTGTCACAGTTATGTGCCAGGTCCTTTACTATGTGCCAAGCCCTCTGCTAGGCACTGGGTTTGATTAGTAAGAACAAGTGTATGTTCCTTATTCTCATGGGACTTATATGCTGGTGGGAAAGTTAGATATGAACAGACTTGTATAAAAAATATAAAATTGCAGCTGTAATAAGGACTACAAAAGAGAGATATAAGATATCATACAGTAAGGGAAATTTGACCTAGTAAAGGGAAGTCAATGAAAGCATTCCTGAAAAAGTGATGATTAAGCAGAGATCTGAAGGGTAAATGTTAACTAGGTGAAAAGGGGAGGGAATATGATTCTAAGCAGGAAGAACAGTATATGCAAAGCCCCGTATGGGGAAACAGAGACTGAAAGGACTGAAAGCAGACCCATTTGGCTGAATTGAAGGGAGCAGAGAGGAGCTGGTGCACAGTGAATCTAAGGAGGTCTATAGGGTCTTAAAAGTAGTGATAATAAGGATCTTTGTCTTTAAGAAAGATAGATAGCCACTGAAGCCCTAGGGTTGACGTGATCAGATTTGCTTTTTGAAAAGATCACTCTGACTTGAAGCAAGAAGAAAGATTATTGAAGATAAGCTTGGTAGACCAATCAAGAATTCGTCATAGTAGGCCTGATAAAGAGAAGTTGAACTTTTTAACTATTTTACTTTTTTTAAAAAGAGAGATAAGCTGAGATGAAAAGAAATGAACAGATTCCAAAAAATGTTTAAGGGATAAAATGGACCAGATGGAGGTGTCAAGGGTAGGTTTCTGGCTGGTATAACTGGCTATCCTTCCAGTGTACCAATCATCAAGAAGGGGAACATGAGCAGGCAGTGTGTTTTGGTAGTAGAAAAATCATACATTTGATTGTGGTTATTTGAATCTCAGATGCCTTTTAAATATCCAAGAGAAAATTAAGTATAACAAGTCATCTCCAATTCAGTCTTTGTTCAAAATAAAAATCACATTGGTATTGTTTGTAAACTAATAGTGTGTGTTATAGAAGTTAATCAATGCAGAAAAGTACAAAATTTTAAAATTCCACCACTCAGAAATGATTGTCACTAACTTTAGATAAATATCATTTCAGATATCTTTGTATGTCTATATATGGATACATAGAAATAGCTTTACAAACATGTGATCATACTATATGAGCTATTTTAAAACCAGAAGTATTTAATTTTACTTTAACAACAAAAACACTGATATGAAAATGGGATTGCTGGACTTTAAATAAGAGTTCTTTTTTCCCCCTCAGGAGATTTTGTCATTCATTCTTGAGTCAAGCAAGAAAACCTTTATCCTTAATTAAACTTGAAACTTTAGTTGAAAGGGTTTTAACTTGACCATCAATTTAAAAGAACTAAGAATTTGGGACTGATACCAAGCTCTCCCTTAAGGAAGAATTATTTACTTTTATTTAGACATATTATTCTCATGTGCATATGATTTCAGTAATCTCTATGTGTATGCTCAGTTGATTTTAGTAATCTCTATACATACACATAATCATAATATAATAGGAATCAATCAGGAATATATTTTCTCAGAACTGTCAAAAACATAATTGTCTTGAGTTTAAATTTCCCCAAATATAACAGAAATATTAGACTTCAAATAGTGAGTAGTAGGAGGTAGGGAGGTGACATTTATTGAGCAACTACTATATGCCAGGCTGTTCCCCTATGCCACACTAAATTATGATCCTCTGTCTTCAGAGAATTATGTAGTAAGATGAACTATTATTGTCTGTGGCCCTGAATGAAAGAATGTCTGGGACTGGCAGAAGGAAGTAAAAATAGAAGAGTAGTGCTAGTATGAGGAAAGGAGACATTGAACTGTGAACAGAAATTTACCAGGGGCCTTGGAGTTATCTGGAACTGTGTTTAAATCCTTACCTTACTGTTAATTTGCTAAGTTGTGATGGGCATTATTAATTTTTAGCTTCTGTTTCCTCATCTAAAAATGCTTGTCTTGTAGGGCAGTTATGAAGATGAAATGAAATAGGTATATAACTATGAGCACACAGAAAGTTATTCCCAAAATGGTAGATGCTCAGAATAATAATGAGAGAGTAGTAGTAAGACAAAAAAGAATAGGAAGGAATATAGAGTAAAAGCATCTATCAAATAAACTGATCTTTTGTTTTTGTTTTTATTTTTGTTAGAATACTCCATCTACTATGGGCTACACACCAACATGGATTTCTTCTCTGTCCCAAATCCGTGGAGCTGTCCCAACCTCCTTGCCACAAGGACTGTCACTTCCTTCATTTCCTGGGCCATTATCATCATATGGAATACCCCATGTTTGTCAGTATAATGCTGTGGTGGGGCCAGGGTATCCAGTACAGTGGGTAGGAATTTCAGGAGCACCACAACAGTCTCTAGTAATTCCTAACCAACCTGGGGGACCGTTCCAACCAGGGATGAATTTGCAGGCATTTCCAGCTTCAGCAGTACAGAATCCGTCCACAATCCCTCCTGGTCCCAAGTAAATCAGAGTAGATAATGAAGAAAAGGGAGTTTTTTTCAGAATTATTTTCAGGATACCTAAGGTATTAAACTTTCTTCTTCTTGGGTTCTGTCATATTTTCCTTCATTTTGAGTTTACTTTCCACTATTATTTTTTGTTCCAATGTAGTATTTGATATAGCTCATCACCTGTAGAACTGTGCAGTTTGTATATAGAACACTGCACATAGAAATGTTTTTTCACTTCAAATCCTATCCTCTTTGATACTTGATTTTTTAAAAAAATACCGTTCAGAATGCTTTAATACGCTCAGCTTGAGCATTATCATTTCCAGGACACTTTCCATGCATTGCCGAGAAGCCCTCATTTTTTTAAAATTGCAGTTCTCTGCAGCTAGATGATACTTTTCTTTAAAAGGTATAAGAACTATTTAAATTTATATTCCCCAAACATAGACAAAGTGAGACTCTCCAGTAGGGTCTTATGAGATTCTTCATGTTGTTTATCTTAGGTTTACCTTTCAGAGAAGGCAGGGTAACTTGCTGCAGGAAATGTTTTGGTGTATAAAATTAGAATAACTTTGTCAACCAATATAGAACATGAGCCCTTTTTAATGTGATTTTCTTCCCGTCATCACAGCAGTAGGAGTGAAGCCTTGTTTTAGGTGAGGCGGAGAAGAAGGAAAAAACAGAACTGTAACAGTTCCTTGATTCTGCAGATAATGTAGCTGCTTTAGGATTTCCATAGTAATTCAAAGCAGCTATCTCTTTGTTTCTCATGTGCACACTACATTGTATTTGAGCATGAGAGGCATTGGTTTGGCTTGCATTCTTCTGCAAGGGATATACTGCAGCTGATATGAATCTCATTTGGGGGGAATCTTTGTATTCCTAACAAAGACGATTCAAGTTACACCTCTATTAATCCATTCTTCTGAAGAGAAATTTACTTGATACAGTAGGTTTTGAGACTTACATGTGAAACACTGGCTTTACAGGGTTCTAAGAGATGAGGGGTATACACTGTCCTGCAGTAGATAGTAGACCCTCGAAGGATACTATTTAAGTTGCCCTTAGCTTTTTTTTGGGGGGGGATTACCTTTTTTTTAGTTGTTATAGTTTTCTTGTTAGTATCTGTAGCATCTTAGATGATTTTAGATCTTAGATGATTTTGGCAGCCTCTTTAGAATCTGAGAGAGATCACTGTCAAGTTGCACTTTACTGGGTTTTATCCAGTTTTAGGAGGAGAGGAGGCAATGTCAGAATATACGTTTTTGGTTTTCAAGAAAGTTAACTAATATTCTTAAAAGTCTGGTCACAAAGTTACCTAATGCTTGATCAATCTGTGAAACCCAAATATTGAATTCTAAAACAGTATTTATCAACTACCACATATAAACATGTTTAAAATACTTTTTACTCTGAAGATTTCAAAGTCATTTCTAGGACACACTTACCTAATAATGAGTTCTATTGGTCAACATTCCAAATGATCACCCAACATTTCTGTTGACAGATTTTCCTCCATATTCCTCTAAAAATCTTACCCCATGATCTTGCCAGGTAATGAGGAAAACTTAATGGGTGTACTTTTTTTTTTGCACACTCTACTTTGTGACATTCAACACCCTTTTTCCAAAAACAAGTGTCTTCTGTTGCTTACCTGAGGATCACACTCAGCATCATGAAGATTCTGTCACTATCATTTTGGGGCATCCAGGACAGCATTTTGAGAACTGCTGTTGATAAGAGTCATAGCTTCTTTTTATAAAACATACTCTGGTTTGGATGAGTCTTTCTAAATCTTATGTACAGATTCTTCAAATTTCTTCTACAGTATTATTTGCAAGTTGAAATGGTTTTAGGACATTAGTGTAATGCAAATTCTCGCATTGCAGTTTTCCATGTGTACAAAAAACAATGTGCCTAAAATCTGTAATTCTTTCAAACTGCTTGTGTTTCATTAGTAGAGTCAGCTTTGTGTGATTACATTGAGACTTACAATTTATAAGCTGAAAATACTGCAGGTTTTATGATCCTTTTTGGAGTTACAATCCTTTTAAATAGTGTACCCCAGGATGAAAAAAGCTCCATGGATGACATTTATTAATGGCTGCTCTATATCATATGTCCCACATTTTGCCACCACCTCTGTTTTATGTACAATTCATCATTATTTTGCCTGCAGACTTTTGCAGTGCCTTGTAATATTTAGAATCTTTTCAGATTTTTTGCTGGAAAGAAAAGTAGTCTTCTAAAGTTTGAAGATGGTGAGTAGTGTACTGCTGTCTCCATGCTGACTGCAGTAGTTGGGTTAACATATATGTTATGTATACATTATGTATATGTAACGTGTGTAAGTTTAAAAATATAGAAAAACGTTGAGTGTGCAGAAATGAAGAAAACAGTGTTATTCACATCACTGTGGGTTTTTAAGTTATTTTTTCCCATTACTTAAATGTTTGACTCAGATTATATTCACTTTGACTGTAAATATTAGCTAGTTTTCTATCTAGGGGTTTTGCATTATTTCATAATTTTGATAAATCATGATAGTGCTGTTTTCATCCTTGCTGAGGTACTTTTCCTCCCCAGAAATAATTAACTCTTGAGGTAAAGCTCAGACATTCCCTTCTTACTTAACAAAGAGCCTACTATAAAGAAGGGCCTTCTTCCCATTTCCAACACACACCAAAACCTGTCCTTTCCATTTTCCTTCTTGTAGAAGAAAAAGGATTACACTAAACAATCCTGCTTGTAAAGCTTTCTTGAGGGTAGTCAGTATGTCCAACCATCACATTTACTTCTCAAAGTGCAAGTCTGATGAATAGTACTGTATCTCCATATGTGGCAATGTGAGCATTTCATCACGAAGTACCTGCTGCTATGTTTGTGAAGTTGGGTGTAACATCATAAGAATATGAAACCAGTATTGGTGTAAATCTAATGAAAATAACCCTATGTATTTGTACCAGTCTTGAATCTCTATTTAAGGCAATTTGCTGTAGTTAACAAATATCCACTTCATTTTTCATCTTTTCTTGCCAGTTTTATATCCAGCATGAATTCCAATGGTTTGACAGCAAAATTATCTGTGAAAGTTTAAAAGGCACTTTTCTGCTGCGATTTTTGGATTGAGTGTGGAGTGTTATGTATAATATGATGGGCTATATCATTTTAGAACCCCATATTTAATCCCAATCCAATTACAATTATTTATCTACCTCTTTCAAAGCTGTTTTGGGGTACACATGAAAACACTGCCTGTGAAACTTGTTTTTTTGCCTTGATTCTCAGTATTCTTTCAGGTTATAAATCTGGCCTGCCTTCTTGTCCCAGTGCTGTGAGTTTGAAATGAGAGGGACCATCACTCTGCCATCAATCTATATTTTAAGTGATGAGAGCCACGTGCTTCTGAAATAAGCTTTGGGGATGTAGGGATGGAGAACAGAGAAATAAATCCAGCTGGTGGCAATATAGGACTTAGTGGTAGAAGTTAGCTGTAAACAAACAAATGGTAAGAAAGTACCTAAATTAGACAGTCCAGTGCCTGTAACTTCGCATCTTTTATTAGAGATGCATTTCTTGTCTGTGTGCCTAAAGGGCTATGGGTTGAAATTGCTTTAACTATCACAATGAGATATTTGATAAATCTTATAGCAGTGGCCTGTCATTCAGCATACTAGCATACAACTAAGTATTTGTAGTGATATTTTATTACCTTAAAATGGCTGTATGCTTTTAGTTGAATTGTAGTTAGTTGTGACTGTTCATCCAATCTCTAACATTTATCAGAGGCATTGACTTTCCCCTTTGCTGTCTTCTCTGAGTGATGAAAATGATGCATTCCTTTTTCCCCCCAGAAAACTGAGCAAATGTTTGTAAACCACAAGTTGTTTCCCTTGTTTACTGTGTGTAACACTAAAGCACATTTAATGTTAGTACTAATATTGTATTTCTGGCTTCATCTACAAGTACATTCCTGAAGTATCCTTGCCATCAGTTTGGGATTCAGTTATTTAATCTTCTGTTTGGTTTAGAATGTTGAGATATTTGAGGTGTTGTGCAGGCCATTATTTCTAGAATAGATTGTTCATTTTTCATCCTGGATTAAAGTTTGATGAAAGTAGTTTCCTGGGGACTTGTTTTTTCCCCTTTTATTTAAAAGATGACCCAATCAGGGAATGGAGCATAGAAAAGGTCATTGATTTGTTTAAGTGTAATTTCTGAGATTGAAATAAAAATCCCACAAGTAGTTCAGACTATAAAATGGTGACACTCAAACTTGGTAAAATCCTTCGAAGTGAAATTAGTATGAAATGTTTCTGAAATGCTTTCAGGTCACCGTGGAAATAGTCTTTGTATGTGAAGGATGAACACAAACATTGGTCAGAAACCTTGACAGCCAACATAGGCATGGGCCTGGGATAGTAACTAGGTTACACTGAAGGTATTTTCAACTGAGATAGCTGGAAGATTATATAAACCAACAGCTCCCATTCTGGAAGATTTTTTTTTTATTAAAAAAACCTCAAGCAAAAAGGCTAAAAGTCAAGCAAGAAGGGAAGAGAGAAACTGGGCTCTTGAGAAAGAAAACAGTGCCACTGAAAAGTAAAATTCCTAAATTCATGCTTGTCATCCTTCCCATTTTTGTTTTTAAGTTGCATTTCTTCTCCATTGTAAGATTTCAGATTGAAGTTTGGGTCCAAAACATACCCTCAGCAGAAATAGTGATTGATTGGAAAGTGCAGTTGTTCAAGGTCTGTCATGCTCAATCACTTAAAGCTGTAATTTGTTTGATATGAATATTAAGCATGTAGACCTAGTACAGCATGGGAGCCACTCAGGAAGTTTATGCAATTAATAAACTTTCATGCATAATTTACTATAAAGTATGCAGAATTTTAGCCACTTCTCTACACTTAACCTTTAGTTGTATATGTCAACTCTCCTTTCTTAATTGGGGAATGTAGCATTATATGGAATGTTGTTAAAACTAATTTTAATCCTTCTTGACATTAACTTTTATTATTTTTTTTTATAAACCTAAGCGATCTGCCTTTAAGCAGTTGTCTAGATTTTGGTTCTTTGAAACTGTGATTTTTATTTCATTTGTACCCAACCATTGTTAAGTATTTTGTTTCCTGGAAATTTTGTTTTGAAACAGAAAATAAAGGCTGTGTTAAAATGAGTATATTATCTTATTAAAATACTGTCATAGTCACTGCAATCACCTGGCTTAAGCTGGTTCTTCATTTACCAAATCTAACTTAACAGATTTTAAAACTTTAATCCTGTAGTTATATTGGCTGGACAAACTAACCAACCTGTATGTTACCTCTTGATTTATAGCTCCAACAAATTTTGGAGTTGGACCTATTCCCCTGATTTGTCAATGAGCCATAATTGTAACAGTCACTATGATTTACTGAATACCTAACTGTGTTAGTTAGGCTTGTGATATTTTTTAATTCACAAAACAATCCTATAAGCAAGATCTGTTACTATCTCAACAGAGAAAATTTGAAGGTCAGAGAGATTATATAATTTACCAAGGCACGATAGCTAGTAAATGATGAAGCCTGGATGCAAACCCAGGTCTGACTCCAAAGGTCATGGGAAAAACCCCAGGCCATGCAGGAGACCCTGGTTCGATCCCTGGGTTGGGAGGATTCGGTGGAGAAGGGAATGGGTACCCACTCCAGTATTCTTGCCTGGAGAATTCCATGGACAGAGGAGCCTGGTGGGCTATAGTCCATAGGGCTGCGAAGAGTCAGGTACGAATGAGTGATTAATACTTTGACTTTCATACTGACTCTCAGATATACTGTAATAATAGCAATTAAAATACATTTAGACTAACTTTTCAACTAATCATTATGATTAGTATATATTCTCTTCATATATCTTTCTTGTTTTTATTTATTTTAATTTTGGCTGTGCTAGATCTTCATTGCTGTGTTCGGGCTTTCTCTAGCAGTGGTGTGTAGGGGCTACTCTCTAGCTGTGGTACACGGACTTAGTTGCTCTGTGACATATGGAATCTTCCTGGACCAGGGATCGAACCTGTGTCCCCTGTATTGGCAGGAGGATTCTTATCCACTGCGCCACCAGGAAAGTCCTTCATAGGTCTTACATGAGGTTATATCCAGTGCTTGTTTTATAATTTCAGGATTAGATGTATATGTTTATGATACAAGCAATGATTCAAAATGTGCTCTTTGCACAAACTTATGCTGGGGTATTTCCATTTGTATTGATAGTGTTTATGGTCCACTTTCAGGAAAAAAAAGTGCATTTGGAAATCTCTCTTGCACATCTTTCATTTACCACACTACAGTGACTTGGGAAACTGTCAAATGAGGTCAGATCCCTTGTTCATTTGATAATTTAGGTGGAAGACTCATGTATATATTTATGCAAATAGCCCTGGAGGCAGAATAAGGGGTCTATCAGAAATATTCAAGATTAGATGAAGATTCTTAAAATGTTTTAAAAAATCTATTACCTTGATTTAATGATTCAGTGACTCCAAGGTATTCTCTCTTAGGTGATCCCTAAAGGGAAGATCTGGAGAAAGGAAATGGCAACCCACTCCAGTATTCTTGCTTGGGAAATCCCATGGACAGAGGAGCATGGCCGGCCACAGTCCCTAGGGTCACAAAAGAGTCAGCACAACTTAGCAACTAAACAGCAACAAAGGGAGGATACACAGTAGAACAAGCACAGGTTTTTTGATCTACAGACCTCTCAAACTTCTGTTTTCTCATTTGTAAAATGAAGTGGTTTTGACTATTAAATGAGATATGTCCCAAATTTGCTAAGTGTGCTTATTGTTAGACAACTCTAGTGACTTTCACAACAAACTTGCACTTGGGAAATCAGGCTGGTTTAGAAATGGGCCCTGGTTCGGATTATAGTTAATACAGATGCCTTTTGGAGTCCAGCAGACCTGGATTTGTATTCTAGCTTTGTGAACTTACGAAAAATACTTATTAGCTTCAATTTCCTTATCTGTAAAAATACCTCGGTGGTATTTTGAGACTAAGTAAAAAAAAAAACATAAAGGCCTTAGCACTGTGCCTGGCACATAGTAGGTTTGCTCAAATAACAGTAACAACTCCTGAAGGGACCTTACATATCACTAAAGAGAAGAGGAAACAGTCATAAAGATGTAACAAAGCTGAACCCAATCTGCAAATCAACAGCAAGTCTGCTGGGGAAAGACTGAGTATTGGCTGCAATGATAGATGATGTAAAGTGAGTTTCAGAGATGAAAATATTTAAGTTGGATGATAAAACACCATAAAACCCATTTAAAATGTGCCATCATTAATGAGCATTATGAATGAGATGACATAATTAAGTCTGTGACTAAAGAATTTAGGAGGAGCTCAAGTTGTAGGAGTTGAGGAAATTGAGAAGGTGGGTCTTAAGACAGGAGCTCAAGACAGAAATGAAATACAGCATAGATGATAGTCTGAATAGGAAGACGACTTTGGGATAAATAGATGAAGACTAGCTCACATGCATGTTACAAATGAGGAAGTAGACTCAGGAATTTAACCAGTATTTGTAAGATTTCTCCATTCCAGCTCAGAGGTTCTTATCCCTGTTTGCATATTAAAGTCACCCAGGGAGGTATTTTTAAAAATTAGTGCCTTGGTTGCACAACAAAGTGAATATACTTAACACTACTGAACTGTATGGCAAAAACCACTACAATATTGTGAAGTAATTAGCCTCCAATGAAGAGCAATAAATTAATTTATTAAAAAATGGTTAAGATGGTAAATTTTGTGTTATATATATTTTACCACAATGTAAAATAAAAATAGTGTCTGGGCCCCATCCCTCTAATTAGTATTGTTTTAAAAAGCTCCCCAGATAATATATTAATATCATATTAACCTAACTAGGGTTGAGAACCACAGTCATTGTTTTCTTTACTAATCAAATGACCTCCCTGCTATTATTGCTGGTTTAAGAAACAGAAGCAATATAGTAGCCTCATTAGACCTTCTAATGAATTATTTCCTATTACCATTATAAGCTTACGGCCTCTCAAACAGCCCCCACAGATTTGGGCAATAAACAAAGCTAAGTGGGGCCTTAACAGAAACTAAACAGCTAGTTAACTACTTAGGTGGAAGACAAGATTTAATACAATGTGAACTCTCCATGCAACCTCTTTATGCTTCTCTCTACCTTTCACTTTAATGATTAAGATTTGTTAGGTGCTTACTGTGCCAAACACTTTAATATATCATTTAATCTTCACAAGCTTCTGAGCTCCTTGACTGTCTTGAGAACTCTTTACTCCCAGCCTAATGTTATTCCTGGCACATAGTGGGCTTGCCTTGTGGCTCAGATGGTAAAGAATCTGCCTACAGTGCGGGAGACCCAGGTTCAATCCCTGGGTCGGGAAGATCCCCTGGAGAAGGAAATGGCAACTGACTTAAGTATTCTTGCCTGGAGAATTCCATGGACAGAAGAGCCTGGTGAGCTAAAGTCCAGGCGTCACAAAGAGTCAGACATGACTGAGCGACTAACACCAACTTAACCAAAGCGTTATTCCTGGCACATAGTAGGTACCAAATAAATCTGATGAAAACTTAATGAGTCTATGTTTCACAGATATATTAAGGGCTCAAAAGGTTAAATAACTTGTTATATAGCAAGTAAGGGGTTGAACAGGTTTTGGAGCCCAGATCTCAGCTCCAAAGCACACACTTTAACCACTGTTCTGTAACATTCACTGTCCCTTTCTACTTTCAAGGCTTTGGCCTCTGTTTACTCTACCCTCTCTATGCCCTATGTTTAGTATAAAGTTTCTCTTGTGATATATATGTTTCATGTTTTTAAGTAACAGAAACCCAATTTGAACAAGCTTAAACAAAAAGAGGAATTTATTATAAAGTTGGTGGTAGTATCTCACAAAACACAAGGATAATACAGATGGCCCTTAAGAACAAATAAATCAGATGCTGAAATGCAGCCAGGATTTTTCATCTTTCCTCCTCCAGCTCAATCCCAAATTCTCGGGGAAAGTACATAAAGAATGGCTCCTGATGCAACCATGGGAGTAAGGTAGAGAAAAGGGTAGCAAAGGGGCATAGGGGAGACAAAATAGATGTTTACATACAGTCCTCCTTTTGACTGCCCCATAAACACATATGCCATTTCCCCCATATCTACAATTCCAAAATGCCCACACCTCACAATCTATGGACAACTGCCAGTCACATGCAGCTACTGCATCCAGAGCAACAACATGGCATGGACATGCCCCTTCCTCATCTAGTTCAGTGCAATCTAAATGTGGATCTTACAACCTCTTTATAACTTGACTGCCACCAATAGATCTGCTGCTACTGCTAAGTCACTTCAGTCGTGTCCGATTCTGTGCAACCCCATCCCTGGGATTCTCCAGGCAAGAACACTGGAGTGGGTTGCCATTTCCGTCTCCAATGCATAAAAGCGAAAAGTGAAAGTGAAGTCGCTCAGTCATGTCCAACTCTTCGCGACCCCATGGACTGCAGCCTACCAGGCTCCTCCATCCATGGGATTTTCCAGGCAAGAGTACTGGAGTGGGGTACCATTGCCTTCTCCGACCAATAGATCTAACATGCAATAATAGAGAAATATTTAGATTAACTACAAAGTTTCCTTTCAGGAAAGCAAAGGGGCACACCTTTATCCAGTCACCAGTCCAAGTATACACCATCTCCACCTAAATAGGAAGAAAGGAAGAAAACAAATTATAGGTATAGAAAAACTTACGAGAGTCAGTTATATGGATGCTCCTTCTTGCTTTACCAGTCTGTACTTGGGCCTTGGGCTTGCTCTAGAAGAGCAGTGATTCTCAAACTTAAGAGTACATTAGAATCATCTGGAGAACTAGTGCAACCTGCAAAAACACTCAACACAAACACTCCATTCAAACACCTGCACTAAAGAGACCAGACCAAACTTGGCTTCTAGCCTTCTAAGTCTCTCAGTTCAGTTCAGTTCAGTCACTCTTTGTGACCTCATGGACTGAACCACACCAGGCTTCCCTGTCCATCACCAAATCCCGGAGTTTGCTCAAACTCACGTCCATTGAGTCAGTAATGCCATCCAACCATCTCGTCCTCTGTCGTCCCCTTCTCCTCCTGCCTTCAATCTTGCCCAGCATGAGGGTGTTTTCCAATGAGTCAGTTCTTCACATCAGGTGGCCAAAGTACTGGAGTTTCAGCTTCAGCATCAGTCCTTTCAATGAATATTCGGGATGATTTCTTTTAGGATTGACTTGTTTGATCTTGCAGTCCAAGGGACTCTCAAGAGTCTTCTCCAACACCACAGTTCAAAGCATCAGTTCTTCAGTGCTCAGCTTTCTTTATGGTCCAACTCTCACATCCATACATGACTACTGGAAAAACCATAGCCTTGACTAGACAGACCTTTGTTGGCAAAGTAATGTCTCTGGTTTTTAATGTGCTGTCTGGGTTGGTCATAGCTTTTCTTCCAAGGAGCAAGCATCTTTTAATTTCATGGCTACAGTCACCATCTGCAGTGATTTTTGGAGCCCAAGAAAATAAAGTCTGTCACTGTTTCCATTGTTTCCCCATCTATTTGCCATGAAGTGATGGGACCAGATGCCATGATCTTAGTTTTCTGAATGTTGAGTTTTAAGCCAACTGTTTCACTCTCCTCTTTCACTTTCATCAAGAAGCTCTTCAGTTCTTCTTCACTTTCTGCCATAAGGGTGGTGTCATCTGCATATCTGAGGTTATTGATATTTCTCCTGGCAATCTTGATTCTAGTTTATGCTTCATCCGGCCCGGTATTCCACATGATAGGCTCTGCATATAGGTTAAATAAGCAGGGTGACAATATACAGCCTTGACATACTTCTTTCCCAATTTGGAACCAGTCTGTTGTTCCATATCCGGTTCTAACATGTTCTAGTATGTTAATATGTCAGAGTCTCTGGGATGACCCAATTTTCATCTGGAAAAGCTTGGGGCTGTAAAAAGAATTTACAGCTTATTCTAACTGACATCTGACAATAGACTCCTGACCTCTCTTTCTTAACAGTGTTTACCAAAAAGGGCTTACAATTATCAATTCTTCCCCTGTCCCTTTGAGATGTATATGTATCTCCTACAACTCCAGAGTGTGTGTCTCAAGGACCAATCCTTTGAAATGTAATTGTTATGAAGGATAGGGCCTCTGTCTCTCTTATATTATAGGATATAATGCTGACTTCAGTAACTGCCAATGAGCAGACACAGCTAGCCTAATTGCATTTACACTGGCCAGCCCTTTGTAATTTTTCCCTTTCTTGCCTCTACTTGAGCCCCGCCTCACTCCTCCTCCCTCCTTCTCCCTTTAAAATGCTGTCACCAAAAATAAATAAATAAATAAATAAAATGCTGTCACCTCTGCACAAATGGAATGGAGCTCTGCTCTTTCCCCTACTGTCAGTAACTGAATAAAATCTGTTCTCACTGCTTTAACTGATGTCAGCCTTTGTTTATCTTTGACACCACTTAAATCACAGATTGGCCTTCCCTGATGGCTCAGCAGGTAAAGAATCCACCTGCAAAACAGGCAACAGAGATCCCTGGGTCGGGAAGATCCCCTGGAGGAGGGCGTGGCAACCCACTCAAGTATTCCTGCCAGGAAAATGCCATGGACAGAAGAGCCTGGCGGGCTACAGTCCATGGGGTTGCAAAGAGTCAGGACACAGCTGAAGCGACTGAGCACACAGACACAAGCCACAGATTACTGGCCTTACCCCCAAGAGTTTCTGATTCAGGAGGTCTGGAGTGAGGCCCAAGAACTTACATTTCTAACAGATCCTAGGTGCAGATGTGCTAGTCCATGTACCATACTTTGAGAATCACTGCTGGCTCACGGTCGCTGTTCACTAGATATGATTTTCTAGTGTTACTACTTCCTCAAAACCTCATATGACTGCCTGTTGATTTCATTTGAGGGGACTCACAATGCTAATAAGTGCCAAGAATCTAGTCAACTTATGCACTTTGAATCTTTAGATTTACTAAACAGAGTAACCTGACTCATTGTGTTGCAGCTCTATTTCTTAGCTCTGTACCTAAAGACTTGCCTCCTTCTCCCTGGCATTCTGCTCATTCTGTTGCAGCTCTATTTCTTAGCTCCGTACCTAAGGACTTGCCTCCTTCTCCCTGGCATTCTGCTCAAGGTGTCCAGTTCAGAGCACAGATAGAAAACAGTAGGCTGATTTAAAGGACGTGAAGCTTCTCTTTTTTGATCTGCCCTGGGCATGTTACACTTACCCATTCAGCTTAAAGCTGAATGCATGTACAGAGGAAGAGATCTTCACATTTGGGAGCTTTGGCTTATATAGATGGCTTCCTTGGTGGCTTAGATGGTAAAGAATCTGCTTATATAGATAACCTCATTCCAACTGCCTGGATGCCAGTTTCCTAATTAGTGAAATATTTGAAATGAGACAGAGTTCTACTACTATAAGTCAGCAAAGCCCATGAATATCTGACCGTCAACAATTGCCAAACTCTTGATATATGCAGAAGGGCTGCTGTTTTTGAGTCTCAAAAGCAATAAGCACCTATTTCATTGCCAAATAACAGAATGCAAACTTTCGATTAATGATACCAGAGATCTCCAATCTCTGCCAGTCCCACAGTTTAGGGTTTGTAATTTGACACACCCCATTTCTGGTACCAGTTCTTGCACTAATATTTTTTGGTCATGAGTAGTTTCTAATTCAATTCTATCTTAAAAATAGTAAAGATATGAGATTGCTTCAGAGAAACCAAGGACAAGAATATCTAAAGAATGATCTAAAACCTGGGACTTAAACATGATGAAGCCTTCCTATCTTCCATGTCTTCTCCGAGTCTGCCTTTTTCTCCCTTCCTTCAGACCAGCATCTTTTAATTTTGTTCATCTGATGGGAAAATTGACTGCTGATAGCTTGCAAGATTTAAATTTCAAGAAAAACTGGTCTCTCTGGTCCAGTTTCAAATTTCTAGGGAATGAGATTCTGATCAACCCAGCCTGAATTCATTATGTGCCTCTGACCCAGTCAGCTATGGTTATGGTTAACATGACAGTTTTTGTTATAACTGTAAATGGGGAGAGGTTTAATTCTTAGTAAAGGAGGGCTGAGTAGTCAATCATTTAGGTATCCATTACACTAGAAAAACTTCTATTCTTTCCATCCGCCATCCTTTCAAGCCACTATTCTCTCTCACTGCTTGTTTTCTCCAGAGTTATTTATGTGCATTGCTTCAACATCTACTTATTCTTTGCCAATCTAGCTTATCCTATCTCCACTAGTCTTTTATGATGAATTTCTTTGTGGAGTTTGATGCTTTTTCAGCTTTTGCATCCCCATACACTTTTCTCAATGGGAAACTTGTCCACGGGGCCACAGAGTCAGACATGACTGAGTGATTAACACTTTCACACTTTTCTCGGGGTTCCCAGGTGGCACTAGTGGTAAAGAACCCGCCTTCCAATGGCAGGAAATGTAAGAGTTCCATCCCTGGGTCAGGAAGATCTCCTGGAGGTGGGCACAGGAACCCACTCCAGTATTCTTGCCTGGAGAATCCCATGGACAGAGGAGCCTGACAGGCTACAGTCCATAGGGTCACAAAGAGTCAATCACAACTGAAGCAACGTAGCATGCACGCACACTATTTTCAGACTTCATTTCACCTGGACTACTCTTGGGTTCTGCACTTTTGTGTTCTTATTTAGCCTACTTTTATCTCCTGCCTTCTATTAAGTTCCAAGCGAGATCTGACTACTACTCACAAAACAGAATGAATATTCTTTGCTACCCTCCTCCTACTGAAACAGTGGGCTCTAAAAGCCAGTCATCCAGAAGACTGGCACAATATCATAACCAACCAAGGAGAATGCTGAAAATAGATTTTTCAAAAGATGATTCTGTACTGTTAGGGGAAAAACTGAAACCGCCTGCCCTGGCCAGGCAAGATAGTAGCCACTTGCATGAGTTATCTTAACAACAGGAGATCCTGGTAAGGACCATGGAACTAACAAGCTACCACCAACCAGAAGAATTCAGGAAAGGTCAAAAAGAGAAGATGCCAGTCCATATGTCCTACCAACCTCCCAGAATCCTCATTGGACTCCATTTTGGTTGAGCAATTCACACACCACCAGTAAGAGCCCAGAGTCAGAATGATTGGCCAGAGACAAATTGAAAACTAATCCCATCACCATAAACTCCCAGACTGCGAGCCACATGGCAGAGCACTTCTCTGGGTTCCCTTACCCTATTGTTCTCTGCTCGGGTGCCCTTTCCTGATAAAGCCTCTTGCTCTGTCAGCACATGTCTCCTCAGACAATTCATTTCCAAGTGTTAAACAATAGTTCACTCTCAGACCCTGGATGGAGTCCCCCTTCCTTACAATTATGTCTGGAATTGGAGCCCTTACTGCTATTTTCTCAAGAGCTCCCCAACAAATTGATTCATAGTGGTTGCAAATAAATGTCCTAACTATATGACATTGTAGCTCAAAGAGTACCAGAAAGTTACAACTTGTAGTTTAATTTGTGTTGATGCTTATATCCCTAAACAAAGAGATCCTGAGTACACTGGATATCCCATTTCACTTTGTCTCTGCATTACCTTGGGCAAATAAATAATGTAAATCTCACTATTCATAAACTGGGGCCAAAAAACTCTTCCTCAAAGAATTACCTTAGCTAAAAGTTATGTGGATTATTACAGAACTAAGGTTATTTTACAACCTAAGATTATATTATTATTGTTATCCAGTGGCTCAGTGATGTCCGACTCTTTGCAGCCCCATGGACTGTAGCACACCAGGCTTCCCTTTTACTATTTCCCAGAGTTGGCTCAAATTCATTTCCATTGAAGTTGGTGATGCCATCCAACCATCTCATCCTCTGTCCTCCCCTTCTGCCTTCAATCTTTCCCAGCATCAAGGCCTCACAGAAATGTTGGTGGTTATCATTTTTACCTTTCATATGTGTCTTTTTCAATAATGTGCTACCCACGTTATTCCCTCCCCCCAAAGGAAAATTCTTTCTCCCTGGGAATCTTATAATACTTAAGCTGAATTAAAATAATCCACTTTACTTCCTTTCCCATGATGCATCACTACCCCCCAAACTCCTTTTCCTGGGAAAGGCGATAAACAGCCTGAAGAAACTCGGTGGATGTAGAGTTAGAGTGCAAATCCTAAACGCTTATCACGCCCCGCCCCTTGATACCTAGTGAATACAAGGGTAGAAGAGGATAATTTAGTTCCAACTATTTATCCCGAAGCCTTAGAAGAGAATACAACTCCCAGGTTGCCCCGCTTCCCTGCCCCGCCCCCGCTACTCCACCACCACAGCTAGAAAGCGTGTACCACAGAGAAGAGACAATATGGCTCCCGGAGGTGGCAGGAAAAGGCTTTACCCCTTTTGAAACGGTGAAGAGCGGCGGGATAGGGATAAAAAAGAAGTGACTACAGTCCGTCATCGGTTTTATCCTCCCAGCCTCTCCTGAGTCCAGTCGGCCTCACCCCTTCTCTCCTCCCAAATCCAGTCAGCTGTCTCCTCTTCACCCCGCCCTCGTTCCCTCTCTAGCTCACCCCTCCCCTCGGGAATCCTTTCCCCGCCCCCTCGCCCCCCGCGGAGTGCGCACGCGCCCGCCCCCAGCTTCGCGCCCAGATCGCCGCCTAGCCTGCTTGCGCAGCCGCCGTCTCATCTGCCCACCGACGAAGCATGGGCGTTCAGGGCTTCCAAGAGTTCCTGGAGAAGCGCTGTCCCGGGGCCGTGGTGCCAGTGGACCTCCTCAAACTCGCGCGCACGGTCTCGCGCCAGCAACAGCAGCAGCACCAGCAGCAGCACCAGCATCGCCAGCTGCCGCCTACGGCAGCCCTAGCGCCCGGGGCTCCACGCGCCGCCAGGGGCTCCGCACCTCAGCAACCGCCATTCCCGCCCGCCGCCTTGGGTGCCTACTCCGGGGGCGCGGGGCCGACTCGGCACCATCACCCCGCTCACCACTTCCACCATCACGGCCAGGCGCACCCCGGCCTGCACCCGCCGCCGCCGCCGCCGCCGCCGCCGCCGCCACCGCCGCCGCCGCCGCCCCCTCCGCTACCCGGAGCCCGGGTGCTTGTGGACGCGGGCTCAGCGCTGCCGCGGCTTTATGGCGGCTACCAGACGGATTGGGTGTGTGGCGGCCAATGGAACGCCATGCTGGGCTACTTGTCAGCGCTCTGTCAGGCTTGTGCCTATCCCGGCGGCGACGGCCTGGAGCTGGTGGTCATGTTCCCCGGGGGCCTGGGCAAGGACCGGCTGGCTGAGTGGGGCCGTCGGTGCCAGGCCGAGCGGCAGACAGCGCAACTGATCGTGGGACACGTGGGCAACAAGGGCACCCCTCCTCCTCGGGCCTGGTTCCTGCCACCGGCCTGCCTGAGCCACTGCGTGAGGCTAGCACTCATCCGCTTCCGGGTCAAGGTGAGGGAGGGGGCCGGATCTTAAATAACTCGCTCCACACCTATTCCCTCTCAACTAAACACCTAACCACCCACCCACTTACCTTTCTCCCATCTACCCACTCACTGCCCAGTCGGCTAACCCACTTGCTTAAATACCCTTGACCATTTTATCCATCTACCCAACCCTTCATACCACCCCCTACCGATTCGGTCACCTACATTAACCACATCTCTCTACCCATGTCATCCCAATAACCCCCTTTACCCAATTGGCCTATCTCTAGGTTTTAGCAGAATGTCTTTTGTAGCTCCATCTTTCACCTGCTGTTTTCTGCCTCAAGCTGCCCTTTTCAAATTTTGCAGTTGACATCCTTCTTCTGTTAGTCTCTTTCCAAACTTGCAGCAGATCAGTTAAACATGTTAATTGAACACCTTTCTTCTACAACTTTTCCCCGAATTTTGAGCCATTGCTTCTTTTGCACCCATCTGTCCATTCAGCCATTTTCATTTCAACCTATTTTTATCTCATCCTTCGTTAGCCTAAACAAACAAACAAACAAACCGACTGGTTCACTTTTCAACCAGTGTTAACCCACTAAGAGGAAGGGGTTTAGAAGATATGTGAGACATGGTTCCTGCCCTTGGAAAATCAAAATATACACATGAAACATTTATTCAATGGTATAAATGTGTTATGTGGTTACGCTTTATGGTAATGATTGTTAAGTATAGTACGTGTTTGGTGTATGTGTGTTGGGGGGCTATATCTGGACTAACATGCTCAGAGGAGGCTTCCTTGAAGAATGAATTGGATTTGAATTACTTACAGGCTTGGGAAGAGGCTTCTTTAAAGGAGAGAAAAAAAGCCAGCAGAAGCAAATGGGAATATCAAGCATGTGCGGCCCCATGGGGGCCAGTCTAATCTCTGCATGGGGTCACTGCATATGGGGCCTGGAGAACAGCTTGGCAGCATCCCCAGTTCTTGGCACAACTGCTGTTGCTTTGTTGCTTTCCCATACTCTTAGGTTTCAAGTTCCTACGTGTACGGAATAGCAAGGCTTGAGAATTAAAGGAGGTGGGCAGGAAGAAAAAAAAGTAGTACAGGGTTGAGTAGGACAGAACTACAAACCTATTCCCCAACCAAGGCTCTTGGGGATGTGCACACAGTCAGAAAACGACATGGAGCTGGAATCATAAACTAAGGAAATGGTGCTGGGTGGAGTAATGAGGAGGGGAAAAATCTCAGCTAAGAGATTGAAAGACCCACATAAAGAAACTTGCAGTGGTCATACAGCTTGTGTCTAGAGTCCAGTCATGCTAGACTTCTTGTGCTCAGCATCTAATATGTGCCTAGACTGGATAGATTATAGCTGTTTTTAATAATTTTTAAAAAAAATTCAGTCACGAGCTATCTCAATACAAAGTGGGAGAAATATATATATCGGACTCCATTTGCTTGCCTTCCTGACTGGGCATTTTTTCAGTAGTTTGTCCATTCATGGCCATTCTTTACACTTTGTTTTCACTGCTACCACTCCAACTTTAAGGACTTTTTACCTCATTGTCATTATTAACTTGGTTGCTGTCAACAATGACTAAGGTTGATGGAATGCTCACTGTGTGCCAGCTGCTAATCTGGGTGCTTTATCAAATGAAAATTATCTCATTTGATCCTCACAATAACCTGTGAAACAGTATTATCCATTTTCAAATTAGGGAACTGAGGCACAGGAGGTTTAGAAACTTGCCCAGAGTCACTCTGGCAATAAATGGCAGAGCTAGGATAGGTGCCCAGGTGATCTGGCTCCAAAGCTCATGCTCTTAGCAACAGTGCTCTAAGATGAAGCCTTCTAAAGTGCCAGTCAGATTAAATTATTTGCATATTGGACTAAAATCTTCTCTGGCTTCTGGGTAAAGACAGGTTTGGGGCTGTTTGTTATTATTCATTGAGTACCTATAGGCTAGGTAATATGTTGATTGCTGAGGATTCAGAGTGAAGTAAGGGGATCACTACCCTCAAGAAGGTCAGATTTTAGTAAACTAGACAAGCTGAAAACAAAGTTGCAGATACTGTGAGCTAATTGCTCATGATTGAAAAATATGGTCCCTCTAGGGAGTATTGGTTAATTCTGGTTGAGAGTGTGAAAATTGAGGGAGGTTTCACAGATTGGTACTGAGCCTTGAAGAGGTCTGGAAAGAATCGTTCAGAGAGTGGACACAGATGTGGAGACATAAAATGGCCTTTGAGCTCTGAGTAGATTTTGATTAGAGGTTGGCGAGGTAGTTGAACACTGTGGGTTTGTGGTTTTCCAACTTTTTTGTTCATGCACATCATCAGCAAAAATTGAGAGGCAACCCTAAAATGACCTACTAAGATTCTTCATTACACATAGGCTCACTTTTAAAATCCAAGCAGTTCATAAAAAATATATCTTGGATTGGGCAGATGGATTGATAGGTGGTAAAGCAAATGTAGTAAAACTGGTAGAGTCTCAGTTGTGATTAGTTTAATGTTCACTATGAAATTGTTTCAACTTTGCTATATGTTTAAAGTTTTTTGAAACTAAATGTTGGGGAAAAATTTCTCAGTAGTCATAAGCACTACTGTTTGCAAAATATATGTCTTGTTTCCCATGCTAGATTATAAACAACTCTTTGATCTTTTCATAGTCTCCATAATAACTTGTTTATTTTAGGTACAGGATATCTTTTTTTCCTTCAATGAAGAGGTTAGTGATCTTAATAGAATGCATTGTAGGGATGACTTCTTAAAAGTGTGTAGTATGGCTCTTAATATGGTGAATTTAAGACTGGCTCCAAACTGCATCTATAAAATATCTGTAGATGTAATCAGTGACTGAAGTTTTCTCTCCTTGCTCTGGTCAGTGATTGTTGTTGTTGGAGTGATGGAGAACTTCTTGGTTTCTAACACAGACTTGAAAGGTGTTGATTAATAACTGATTGTGGTTTGCATTTTCAGGGGGCTGTTTCACTGTCTTGAAGATAACAGTTTTTCTCTTGAATGATTTGCATGCCTTCCATTTCTTTTGACTGAAATGCTAGTGATTCAGTCCAAAACCCACTAGTGTGTTTCTCCTTCCCTTGGTTCTGTTCTTGAGTCTAGGTCACAAGTTCAGCCTTTATTCCCAATCTGATTTTCATTTGTGATAGAGAAAATAGAGTTAGAGGGATTAAATAAAAGATAAATTGCCGCGTTGTCTGTTTAGGTTTAAACAATTTAGGACTTCTCTTGAAAATATTCATTGTTATGTATAACTGGGATGAATTTTGTTATTTGGTTGGTTTCATTTGTATGTTCTGCAAACCTTTGTAAGTGATCATTGCCAGTAGCAGAAAAATTAAGTAAAACCACAAATCACTACTACCTAATCTCTTCCCAAGGGTCTCAGAGCAACCATAAAGCAGCTTTAGAATGTGGTTTCAAAGATGATGTGGGTGGTAATGGTATGAATACTTTGTTTTAATGGTTAGTGTATATATATTACAAAAAAATAGAACACATGAAACCCATAGTTTCATAGGTATAACTGTTTAGAATGAGGCCAGTTTTTAAAAAGTAAGTTGACTTAAAGAAAAGTATTAAGGTACAGCACTTGGGTATAGTACTTGGAGGGGCTTCCCTGGTGGCTTAGTGGTAAAGAATCCACCTGCTAATGCAGGAGATATGGGTTTGATCTATGGGTCAGGAAGATCCCCTGGAGAAGAAAATGCCTAGCCACTCCAGTATTCTTGCCTGGTACATCCCATGGACAGAGGACCCTGGTGGGCTGTAGTCCATGGAGTTGCAAAAGAAACATGACTTTGCAACTAAACAACAGTACTTGGATGTTGCAGAAATCATGTTGATAGTAAATGAATAAGTAAAAGTTTGAGAAATCTGATCAAGAGCATACACCATTTTGTGCTTTTGTTCTCTAGAATACAGTATAGCAGTGGCTGCTTTGGCTCCTGATGATTATTTTCTTTGCCACTTTATTTTTAATTGAAGGATAATTGCTTTACAGAATTTTGTTGTTTTCTTTTTTTTTTTTCATTTATTTTTATTAGTTGGAGGCTAATTACTTTACATCATTGCAGTGGGTTTTGTCATACATTGAAATGAATTAGCCATGGTTTTACATGTATTCCCCATCCCGGTCCCCCCTCCCACCTCCCTCTCCACCCGATCCCTCTGGGTCTTCCCAGTGCACCAGGCCCGAGCACTTGTTTCATGCACCCAACCTGGGCTGGTGATCTGTTTCACCCTAGATAATATACGTGTTTCGATGCTGTTCTCTTGAACCATCCCACCCTCGCCTTCTCCCAGAGTCCACAAGTCTGTTCTATACATCGGAGTCTCTTTTTCTGTTTTGCATATAGGGTTATCGTTACCATCTTTCTAAATTCCATATATATGTGTTAGTATACTGTAATGGTCTTTATCTTTCTGGCTTACTTCACTCTGTATAATGGGCTCAAGTATCATCCATCTCATTAGAACTGATTCAAACGAATTCTTTTTAATGGCTGAGTAATATTCCATGGTGTATGTGTACCACAGCTTCCTCATCCATTGGTCTGCTGATAGGCATCTAGGTTGCTTCCATGTCCTGGCTATTATAAACAGTGCTGCGATGAACATTGGGGTGCACATGTCTCTTTCAGATCTGGTTTCCTCGGTGTGTATGCCCAGAAGTGGGATTGCTGGGTCATACGGCAGTTCTATTTCCAGCTTTTTAAGAAATCTATACACTGTTTTCCATAGTGGCTGTACTAATTTGCATTCCCACCAACAGTGTAAGAGGGTTCCCTTTTCTCCACACCCTCTCCAGCATTTATTGCTTGTAGACTTTTGGATAGCAGCCATCCTGACTGGCGTGTAATGGTACCTCATTGTGGTTTTGATTTGCATTTCTCTGATAATGAGTGATGTTGAGCATCTTTTCATGTGTTTGTTAGCCATCTGTATGTCTTCCTTGGAGAAATGTCTGTTCAGTTCTTTGGCCCATTTTTTGATTG